TATACTGAGTTTAAAGGTAAAATTTGACTTGGATGCACACCTGGGCAGTGATAGAATACATCAATTAAATGTTAGGATAACTTTCTAAAAGTTCCTTACTATCAAACCTCCTTTAATTTCTGAATAAAGCATGTCACTTCAAGAATAACTTAGGAGAAAAAGGATAAATATTATGTAGTCCAGAGTTTTTATAAATCAGCCATATATTTTGACCTATATGATTCAAAACTAGAAAGAACTAGATTTTAGAACTCAACAAGACCCAAGTCGGCCAACTCCATTCCTCTCCTTACTAGGTGTGCAACTGTACATAAATAACTGAAAGCCTTAGAATCCTAAATTCTTCATAAGGCAAAAGGGAATAGTACTAAAACATAATTCATCTGAAAAACCTGTAATGAATGAACTCTTTTAAGCTGATTACTATGATGATGAATTAAAATCTTTTCGGGCACCTGGCCCACCACCTGGCACATTAACAAAGGGTAGCTATTAGTACTGTTTTTATTTTGAGAGTGCTTCTTTTTCATCTATTACCACCTGACCTCCCCCAAAATTATAAGGCATGAGGACTGGGGCCTAAACGAATCAGGATTTTATTTGTGGCTCTACCACTTCCTACCTTGCCAGTCTGTTCACTAACCTATCTGAGTCTCAGTTTTCTCAGACATATAACATAATAAAAATCTCCCAGCAGGAATCCTCTGATGACTAAGAATAATACATTTAAAAATGTGTGGCATACAGGAGCACTTCTTAAATGGTAGAAATTACAGTCATTGAATATCGATACCAAGAGGAGATGAGAGAGTGTTTCACTATTATGTTTCACTACTTTGAAGAAACAAATATTTTTACAGATACTATTTGCATATTGACTCATAGTTCACAAAACAACTTTGTTACTGAGGAATATACTCCCTAAAACATACCCAAACTTAGCCATTTGATGCTGTTTTCCTTAAATCATTATCCTTGTACCCCATTGTACCTTCAAAGTCCTTAATTAAAAATGATGATAAACCGCAAATTCTAAGGCCTTTATTTTAAAAACTGCAAATATGCTGCTGTCACAGGCCTATATTTTTAGAAATACTTGACAGTTGGAATTGGCCAGATCAAAATGAACAGTATGTCACAGATTCTTCATTTGAGCAGTAGATCTTGGAGGCAAATACCTCCTCTGGGTAGTCTTTGCCGAAGAACAAGTAGAAGTGGTTTGCTAATTTCTCTCTGAGTTGTAGAATACTGTTTAAACTATCAGGTAAATAACCTGTTCTTGTTCTAGCTAAAGTATAGTTTAAAAAAACACCTAGTAGGTGGTACCTGAAACTTATCATATCACACAGAGAAGTAGGAACAAACATGGGAAACTTTCTTAAATCTAAATAAATGCACTAGGACATATGCTGAGATTAAGGATGAATTATGTAAACTAAGTAAGGATGCAATCAAGTGCTAAGAATCAGGGAGAGCCTCGCAGTTTTACAAGATTGAGCTGTTTTTACTATCACAATAACTGAAGCATGTGTTTAATAACTCATCAAATACATTTATTTCCCTTCAACATCCACAAGGTCAAAGGCAGACATTGGCTACAACCTGAAGCACCATCAATCCTTTTGAAAGATGGCTGGAAGGACAGGACCAAGAAGCAGCAGGCTGGATCCTACTGAGGCCCCCAAGGTGTTTCAGGATTCAGAGCATGGACTACACATGAAATATAAAATCCACCGATTTGTTTGAGGGTGACATTACTTTCAGTGCTCTGAGATTGTTCATGCAAGCAGTTCACACAAGGCATAAGGCTCCATAGGCAACAGTGGCAATTTCCAATGTTAGGTTCTATGTCTGCTTCTTGGTTCAGTGATTATGACCAGTATATTTTAATTTTAAAGCACAAAACATTATATTTAAGGGTATCTTCTGCTTGGTGACTGAAAATTGATAAACAGTGGATTAGCATCAGTATTAGGCTATCGAGAAAAGTTCTTCCTTTTTTTTTTTCTCTATCTATTTATGTATGTAATTGGTTGCTGCAGGGTTTCACTATGCAGCTCAGACTCATAGTGATCCTCCCACTTTCAGCTTCCCCAGCACAGGATTACAGGCATGTGCCACCATGTCCAGTCTTGGTGGTTGGCTCAGGGTGCTTAGGAACAGGGCAGGTGCAGCATGTGGTGCTGGGGATTGAACCATGGTCCCTGTGCTTGTGTAAGCTTTCCTAAGTAGGAGCTTTAGTCAGCTGAATTATCTCACTAGCCCTAGAATAAGCTTTTCTAGACTTGTTTCCAGCATCTCTACCCAGGCATTTTTTTTATACTTTTGGTCTTTGTTTCTTTTTATTGCTTCTATCTTCTTCCCATCACTGGCTGGGAGTTTCAAAGCATTTGAGAATGTTTCAGGGTTTATACTTACAGACTCACAGCTATGATTTTTATGTTTCTGATAGCTTTGATCATTTCAAAGCCATTTTACCCATCAGCTATATTGGTCTTCTCAAGATGAAGAAGCTGAAACATGAAAAGGTCCTATGCTTTGCCTGAAATCAGTTGGAGTTAGAGTCAGACCACAGTACCCTCTCAGGTCTCTGAGTCCAGGGCTCACTGTACTCCAAGATAATTGTGTCATTTGTTTTATGTGAACTTGAGTTTCACTATTGGTATTGGGGGGAACAATGCCTACTTGGTAGGCTTATGTTGATGACTAAATGATGCCATGTGTTAAAATATAGAACAAAGTTAAGTGGCCAACAAGTTAAGGCCTTGCCCACTCCAACTCTTGGTGATGCCTCCCTTAGGGGTCTAGGAAGTCACTTTGTAATTTGGTCAGGGGCTGAGAAGATACAACATACTCCAAGTACCAGTAGAGTGGCAAAACTGAATCTCCCCAGTCACTTCGGCCGTGTCCATCACGGTGCCGTGTGGTGCTGATGCAAAAACGAAGAAGGCATGCTCAGGGATCACTGTAAGCTGTACAGCTTGTGGCTGACTTCCTAGCAGTAGCAGGACTTCCAGGTGCATGTGCTGGCTGCATTTCACGGAATTCTTTGCAAATTCTCAAAAATAATTTTAAATAGGATACAATGATAAAATAATGACTCCAATATCAATTTCATAATACACTAGTAAGTGACATAGTTCATCAAATCTTAATGTGCTATTTTTGTAGGCAGTAACACAGCCCTGCACTACAACACGCAGCACAGAAGCCCAACTAGTAGTGGAGCTAGTGTGAACAGTGCGAGTAGGTTGCGTGCTCCTGCTGTGTTTCTGTTATGGTGCCTCCTTGGTGGCAAAATGTCGAAGGGTAGAATTGCCATGACAGCACCCACTTTCTCAGTAAAACTGAACAGGATTTTAAGCTCTAAATAAAAAAAATAAATAAATAAAATAAAAACAAGTGAGTAAAGGCTTTGATTCCATCTCATTTGAATTAAACCACAAAAAAGCAATAATTTTACATTTAAAATATTTTTAAAAGGTGAAACCTTTAAAATATTTAGCATAATTGAATTCAAAACTACATACATAGAAGTAAAATTAATGAAAATTATTATTATTAGTGAAATTATTAGTAAGAATTTATCACTAGGCATCTGTGTTAGAGCCAATGTTCAGACTGATACAATCAATCTAGGCTTCTGGTCAGACATTTCGGTCCGGATTCCACCACTTTTCACATTTTCAGACAGTGATCTGACCCATTAGGGACACAGTGTTCCCGTCTGGAGAATGAAGATCATGCCTTTTATTTCCTATGATAGATTACGGAAGCCGAGATGGAGCATTCCTATAACAGTTTTGAGTACCTAATATGTATTGGACTCTGAGCTCCTTTAAATCTACTAACTTACTTAGCCTCCACACTGACACTGACCCATTGACATGGACAGCATCACTCATCTTCATTTCAGAGAAGAGGGATTAAGGCACAGAACTTTTAACAAAACCCTGACAAGGTGACCCAGCTAAAGACCGAGTGAGAATTCAGACTCAGGCAGCATGGCTCCAGCGCATATGCTCTTGACCTCTTGCCTGTGTTGCCTTAATCCATCACTGCGCTGTTACAAGCCTGGCCCCATCCCCAGACTGTGGTATACACAGACGTGATGTGCAGATGCTGATATATACTAGACCCTGCCTTTTCCCAAAGTATATAGTTGCTACGCTGAAAAGATAGGACATACACATAAATAGATAAAAAGCAACAGACTTTGGCAAATGCCAGAAAAAAAGGAATTATTATAAAATATAGAGAAGTATGGAAGAAAGGGAGACCAGCATGACTGTGTAGTGGAGGTGGAACTTGACTTGGGCTTTGGAGGATGAAGAGCACTAAAAGACTTGCAAGGAGTTACTCGGCTGTCCCTCTGTGGACACCATGCCCAACACACACAGCACACAGGAGGAGGAAAGGACCAGTTGGGTCACATTTTCAGTCCATGATTATCTGGTTCTAAGGCAGAAAAATGTGAGGGGGACATGCAGGAGCAAAGCAGTTTGGCACTGTTACCTTGCTCTGCTTCCCAGCTGCCAAAACCCAAATTGCTTTGAGGACTGGAAGAAGGGCCACAGATGATGCCCAAGGCCACGTCCCATGGCCATCCACCCACACCCATGACCCTGTGTCATGGATCTGCTCAGTGTTTAATCCAAGGAGGCTGACAGAGCGAGATGGATGTCCACAGAGCAGTTTGGAAAGTTATTTCACATAATGGGAACCAAAAAGACAGAAGAAATTTATCTCAGTATGGGCGTACTGGGATGAGAGTGGGACATTCTCATTTGTTTTGCAGAATGATTTAAAAGCCCAGGAGAGGGGGAGGCCACCTGCTAGAGGCCCTTGGGGTTTCAATGTGGCTTATGCATACACAGGAGGCCTCGTGGTGCCAACCCATGTTTTCCAAAGGCTGATGAGACAGATGGCAGGAGTGGGGGAAGAAGCAAGAAAAGTCAGAGAGTAAGAGGCATGGGCACCCCGATGCCCTCCACACTTACCTACATTCAGACCCCTTTCAGTTATCCCGGTGGTGAGTATCCGTTGGTGAACATTCCATGACCTCTCCTCACCTTTGGGTTGTCCTTTTGGCTTATTCTTTGCCGGGAGGCCCGTGGGGCTGCACCTGGAAGCAAAGTGATTTCCCAATTAGTCTTTTCATTTTTCTTCTCCATAGTAGCTCATTTAAACACCTATTTGGAACAAGTATGCTACGGGTTTGCTTTCATGCACATGAAGTCCTTTGCAAGGCGGAGACCAGAAATCACCTCGGCACAGAACCTTAGAACACAGAAGTGCTAGTTCCCACCAGGGGTGGGCTTGGCAGCTGGAGTGGACACATGCACCTGCATGTTGTTCTTACAGCAGCAATTTGTTTCGTCTCTGGCTGCCGAGATGTTTAGGTAGGAGGGGCTGAACAGACTTGCCTTAAGTGTACTTGTGGTATCTCTCCAGATCTTCTCCCGGACACACGTAAACACCAATACTAATCATGGTCATCTTGGATGCCACGCGACTACACTAAGCAGTTGCTGCTACTCCTGAACTGAACACACACTAGTGGGAGGCCTGACTGACTCTCGAGCTGAAGAGTACACCCTTGAATCTAAAGCTCAACTGTTGTGTTGTAAGGATGAAATGAGGAAGATATGGGAAAGCTGAAAACATATCATGGTGCTAAACTCTTTTTAAAAAACACTACTAAATTACTGTTTCAGACTACTATTAATGGTGTATGTGACATTTAAATAGATTTTAGAAACTGAATACATCATTGTCACTAATATATGTTCAAAAAAACCAAACACAAATGATCTAGAAATCCATCTTTCACTGGAATCTGTTGAATGTAAATATATTTGGGGTGCAAAGCAAGCTCTCTCTCTCTCTCTCTCTCTCTCTCTCTCTCTCTCTCTCTCTCTCTCATATTCTCATATATATGACCTCTTTCAAGAAAGGGAAAAGGTCTAAAAAATTGTATGCTTGTCTGGTAGAATATAATGTATCTGTTCTCTGATGAACATATTTTTTAAAATTATTTATAATCATTCCATTAGAGTCCTTGTGATTTCTTCAATCCACAGCCCTAATATTGCTAAGATTCTAGAAAAGAAACAAGTGAATCTAGTTATCTCAGGACACAACACCTGTCACCATGTCCACACAGTAGCTAGAAAACCGGCTTTTTTGCTTATGAGAACTTGGTGTAGACACAGCCTGTGACCCTAATACAAAACAAAGCCCAGCTACTCTGCTTCTCAATTTGCTTGATAAGCTAGAATTGTTTGCAAAGTCCCCAAATAAACAGAAATCACGATAATTATGAATAATTAAAATGCTAAACTCAAGAGGGCACTCAACAGTCATTAGGCAGCGGAGCTCACCCTGAAGGGTAGTGCCTCCAATTAGTTCTGTTTTTACAACAGAAAAAAACGGTGACAACCAGTAATTGCAGGTATTTAGTTCAAGTAACAAAACAAGCCAACCTACCTCTAAATCTGCAGCTTCTCTCAGCTGGAAGAGGCCCTATTCTCTTTCAGATTCTTAGCCATGGTACTAATTCTGCAACACAGGGAGGATCAGAACAAACGCCAGTGCCTCTAAGCCCTGAGTGGATGCTCCTCTGTGTTATCAGCTGCTCTGATAAGCAGTTGAGAGTAGAAAGTGGGTGGTAACAGCAATTGCTTAGAAAAGAAACCATTTTAGGGCAGATTTCAGAAAACTTTAATCAAAGCTTGTACTCACCTAATATGAAAACACTGTCAGGCTTGATGCTAAATAATAGTTACACTTAAAATATATAGCTATTTTACAAAACATACCCATAGTCCCTTGCAATACCAAATGGTATTTCAGCTACTGAGGTTTTTATTAAGTTGTTTTTAGAACTAAAATATGTGAAGGTGGTTGAGGCCGAGAATGAGGAAATAGTGTAGTCAGGCTTGGATCTAAAAGACTGTGGTAAGACTGACTTTTTCTTTTGCTCTGACTCAATATCAAATTGACAACCAAGACACAAACAATGGTTGGCTCCACCAGCTGCCACTCCGGAGGAAAACATTTAGCCTTTCATTTCAGTAGAGGGAAGAGCTCATTAGAAATGTGGTACAAGTCATTTCATAATGATAAATCTTAAGGTAGCAATTCCACTTTTAATGATTAGTTGCCTGAGCCTTGTATTTAATTAAAATGGTTATTTTAAATGCTTATATTTAATTTAAACATAGTTAGCTAAAGTTCAATGTTACTGCTTCATTCATTTTGAAATTAATTTAAGAAATAGTTCAAAAAGGGCTGTGAAATTTTAATATTAGAAAAAAAAGGATCAATTTGCATCTTCTGTTGGCTTCGCTCGTGGGCGGAGGGAGCTGTTGACACCAGTTATGACCCACGGCCTCTGGTATAGCTGATGAGCAGTAGAATCAACTATGGACCTTTCCTTGCCATTTTTCTCTGCACTAGGGTATGTGCTTCAGCCTTTTAGGCAATAACACTCTATAACTAGGGATGTGATTGTTTAAATTTTAAAGGGATCTAAGTTTTAGAAATTAATTTTGGCCTTATTACATTTAGGAGAAACTGCTAGTTTTAGCAAGTGATTCATAAGTGTGTGACAATCAGTGTCATAAGATTTCTCCTGACTCAGATTAACAACTGTAACAAGGGCAATTGTTGACTTTAACTTGCATTTAAATAAACAGCATGGCCTGCATACATGGGAACGAAGAGTGCAAGGCAGGACAGAACAGCTTTTCCTTGTTATAAAGTCTAAGGAGACAATGCGGAATGGTGGTGCATGTTTACGAAGCATTGAATTAAATACTTGGAGACTGGCAGGAGGATCTGAATGTTCAAGTCCCACCTGGTAGCACCTGCCTCAGGAGAAAAAAAGGCCTGGGTTGTAGCAGAATTATCTGGAAGGGGTTTCCTGCTTCTCTGAGAAATGTTAGTCCTTAGAGTGCTTAGTGGGCTAAAGTACTGAACAATGCACATTTGTCTATTCGTAACTGACTCTAACTATTAGGTACAGAATGTTTATGAAGCACTGAACTAACTACCCAAGGAGGTGGCATTAGACCCATTTTATAGATTAATGGTATGGGGATTACAGAAGCTAAGCACTTAGGTAGGCTCACACAATTAGGAAGTGATGGAGGAGGCATTCAAAGCCCTGAGCTCGGCGGCACACTGTGCCCCACCTCCAGCTCATACTCTCTGCTGTGAGATGTTCACAATGGCTCCCAAGTCTTCGGATACTACCTCCACCACCATGGCAACAGGAAAGGTACTCCTGGGCAGTATCAGTGTGAGTCAATTAACAGGAAAAAGTAAGAGATTTGGTTTGACCATTAGTAGCTAAAATCTGTAGCTCCTTCCTATTGTCCTCTCATATCAGGAAAGACAAAATTTTAATACTTTGTTAGAGCTTAGGCTTTGTATGCTCCATGGAGACATTTGTTCTTCCCATTCTCTGCCATCATCTGAAATTTTGTGCACCTCTTTCCGGCATTTGAAGATGTTTAAACCTTTAGGTATTTATTGAGAGCAAGCTACAAAATGAGAATCAGTGGATGAGTAAAGCCACAATGGAGTATTTCCCTCCTTCCCACACCATCCCCTTATGTGTCTTCCAGGTAACTTTAAACAGTAGGGCATCTCAGCTGCGATGTGTTTCTGTTTCTTTTGGTTATTCTCCCAATCCTCAAGAGTTTTCATGGTTCCCCTTATATGTGAAATACAAAATATAAATACAAAGCAAAAGAAAGCAAGATCATTATGTATTGCAACATGTACCAATAAAAATGCAGTCATGATCAAAGACCGAGAACTGGATTCATTCTCTGCAAAGATCATGGCTGGTAAGTACAAATAACCTCCTATTCAGAGGAGACACTATTGGGATCAGCACCAACTGTCTACTGATTTTTTTTTTTTGACATTGAGTAGAAATTTTTGAAATTTATGTACAATTTCAGATATAATTATAATCCAATTACATAAGATAAATATAGGCTTTTAAAAAAATTTCTGAATAGTAAATTTTAGAACTGCATTTTCAAGAAAAATGAAACTTTTGCACAAGAAATATGAATAAAATCATACCAAGATACACAAAAATGAAATTGTCCAAACTAATTGTAAAGAAAAAAATCATTGAAGTTTATAGAAAAAACATTAGCTATGGAAGACCGAAATTAAATAGCATTTTATTCCACATTAGAAAAAAAAAAAAGAGCAAGTGGGTAAGAAACTAGACTTATTTATTCAAAGGATTGAAAAAAAGATCTGTTCTCATTAAATTTTACAGTTAACAAACATATCTTTGAAAACTAAATTTTTTTCAGTTTACAAACTTGAAATATTCTAATACCTCCAGATGTAGCATATAGAAAATAACAAAGAGCATAATCCAGAAGGCAAGAGAAGTTGCTGGATTGTCCTGGATAAAGAATGCTCTCAAAATGGCAGTTATGTAGGACTATGTAAAATATAATTATTTTGGATGAACCTATTTAAAAGGTCATTGATGATTTCCCCAAAACAGTATCAATCTTATGTCAAGTTATCTACATATTTTTTCGTGTGTGTGTGTGTGTGTGTTAAAGGCAAGGAAGAACTAATATAAAGTCAATGGAAAATGGAAATATACTTTTTAAAACTTATACTAGGAGAAAATATCATACCACGTCTTACAAGTAGATTGTAAGTCAAAGAAACTGTATAAATCATAAAACAAAAATTAAAATTAAACAACATTCTGAAAATTAATTAAATATTAATTAGTTCAAAATTAAATTAAATATTTCAAAATAATATTGAAAAATTAAGATTAAATTGTGAGTCCAACTAAGATGTTAGAATGTAGTGTATCATATGTATGAATCTGTGATCAATTCAGAGTACTCACATAGTATTTGATTAGGTTAATATATACAAAAATATCAACTAAGAAAAAGCTTTCATGATAGTAAAGAATTACTAAAAATAAAACATAATAATACTGGAACGGCAAATATATTACCAGCACTTCTAATAGTTTGGGATAGGATACTGCACAAAATTCTAGTATGTAGCAGACATGGACAGTATCCATGATGCTTACTGGTAGCCGGGTGTCGCCTGTGG